TACTCTCCCAGTGAAGCTGAAAACCTCTCGCTACAGATAGAGGAAAAACTCCCCTCCTTCTTTTCTGTGTATGTTACCTTTACTGAGTTGCAATTGCCGTAAAACGTTTATTAAAACTAAAACTAAGACGAAAAAACATAAATAGGCAAGATTGTTTTTCTTTTCAGCCCCCGACCTTGCAACAGATAGGCCAGAGCATTAAAGACATCTATCTATCTATCTATCTATCTATCTATCTATCTATCTATCTATCTATCTATCTATCTATCTATCTATCTATCGATGGATCGATCTATCAACGTGGTCTAGAGGTTACAATATTTGCCTCTCATTCAATAGGTCCCAGGTTTGAAATCGGACATGACGGAAAATGTTCTTCTCTTAAAGTTTCTCCTTTCACCTCCTTTCCAGCTCTCTAAGTATGTTCTGTCGTCTGCTTTCGTGATCTCCACTTTCTGTACCCTAACCCCACCCCAACCCCCCACCTCCCTTCGCCTTTTCTTTCTCTTCTTGGCTCCTGACTCTTTCTGCAACATTTCCACTGCTACTCCTTGGTTCCTTCTAATTGCTATCTTTCAGCCATGCCCTTGATCTTAGTAATTCTTAGGGTAGGTAAGATCTAACACCTAGCCTTCTCGGATAAAGGCAATAAATCTTGAGGGTCCCGTTTGCAAGTTGCGCAAGTTCCAAAATCGATAAGAGTACGCTTCGGCCGACATCCTGGCAAAATTTAAAATTAGATCTAATTCCTACCGAACTAAAAATGTTCAATGTGTCCCGTTCACTCTTAAGACCTTATGCAGTTGCAAGCGTCGTAAAATACTTACCAAAACAAAACATATCTATTCTATTCTACCTATCTATGTATCTATATATCTGTGTGTCTGTCTGTGTGTCTGTGTGTGTGTCTGTGTCTGTGTGTGTGTGTGTGTGTGTGTGTGTGTGTGTGTGTGTGTGTGTGTGTGTTTGCAGTCTGTCTGTTTATTATCTGCCTACAGGCTCGAAACACACTGACCCTCCCTACCTACCCACCCCTGCCAACTCACTTTTTTTCCCAAGCCCAATATACGACTGTATTTGCAGAGAGACACAGGCATTGCTCATGAAAATAAAAGCTGTAGGCCTCATTATATCTTTAGTATTGTCAGCAAACCAGAGCTGAAAAGTAAACACGGCCATCTCCCTAATTGGTCCTTGCATTCCTGGGTTTTTTTTTCTATTTTGAAAATGTTGGGAAATGGAATGGATGAAAGAAAAAAAAATAAGAAGGCATGTCCCTTCTAAACAGAAACGCGATATATATATAGATCTATATACACCTTCATCATGTTTAGACGCTGAGTTCTTTTTAATGCAAGTCACTTTGCCTTTTGGCACGCCTCGATGTATTTCGTTGACTCACTATGTCCAAAAAAGCAAAAGTTTACAGGAGAATGAACAAAAAAAACCTGTTTTATTCTGTTTACAATTAATTGCACATACATATTGTATTTTTCTAGCATTTTCCCATGACTAGAATTTAAATTTTGACTAAATATTCATTGAGCACATGATACCAATACCAGAGATTAAGAAACTGAAAAAAAGACAGAAATTTTAATAATAATAATAATAATAATAAACAGCATTTGTATAGCGCATATCACCGTTCAACAGCAGGCTCTATGCGCTTTACACTATAGACATTTTCAAAATGTTAGACTTAGAATTTTAACAGATGCCCGACAATTTAAGATGTTATGTTTTCATGGGTAATACCGTGCACTTCGATATTGGCCTCTTTCAGTTTCATCCTTAAGTAACGGTAAATTTCGAGTGACACTGTGCTATTCTGAACAACGAGGCCCATAACGAAAAAAGTTGTTCTCCATTGACGGGAGGCTTATAATCTGTGATTGAAGAGTTTTCTACTCTTCCAGGTTCACTTGTATTTGCCTGGTCAAGCAAGACCACTACCCCATTTTCAAATCTCTGTCTCAGTTGTAAAGCTCCTGTTGCTATGGAAAAATATTGCTCAACCTCGGAGCCTGTTTTCTTAATGTTATTGTTCCCATGCCTTTCAGTCTTTTGAAATTTCCACATTATTATAGACAAATATTGTCCGACTGACCTCACGTTTTCTTTAAATTGCAGGTCAAATGTGATGGCTATGGGTGGTTGGCGGGTGCTATGGTGTGGTTTGCTCCTTCTTTCCTGTCAAACATCTATCGTCCTGATATCCCTTCCTTCCTTTTTGTGTTTGTTACTCTCTTATGACACCTCTAATGACAGGCACTTTTATGTCCATTTCGTGTTTCAAGTTTCGTAAAACTCTACTAGAAACTAAAACAAAACAAAAACCAACAAAAAATGATAGTTTTTGAAGTATCGATTGATTTTGAATGGCACTGATAAGGGGGAAAAAGGGAGGGGGGATAAGGGCAGTTGGTGAGTGATTGTACGTCTAGTTAGTAGGTTAGTAGGGGGCAGGAGGGGGTAGGTGTGTAACGATGTCTATTTTTGTGCCTGTATGGGTATGTGTGTTCATATTCTCGTGCGCATACATTCACACGTCAAAACCTGTTGATATGTGCGTGCCTGTGTGTCTGTGGGTCTTTGAAGGTGCTCTAAAGTTTCTAAAGGACTGAACAAGCAGAAGCAGCCCATAACCTCCACTAATTACATCAGTAGGATCAACAGTACCACTCCGGCCCCCACAATCAAACGGCAACCGCTTGTGCTCCGGGGCGCGGGGCGTTCACTAGTGTGCAAATTTGCTGCGGGCTTCGAGTTTAAACAAAAGCGCTTTTGCACTGGCCGTGCGTAATGAACGGCCGCCATTAGGGTCTATAATACACCAATTAGTTGAGTCAACAAGGGTGTGCGCAGATTCGCACAGATTCTGGTTCTGATTTAGCCCGAATTCGTGATGCTAACACAATTTTAGGTCTTAGTCTTAGAAGCTGCCATGAGAGGGAAAAAATGTGAAATAAAGAATAAGGCGAAAAGGGGGTATTTTTTTGTGTGTAGGCCTATAGTAATGTGGTGTGTGTGTGTGTGGGTGTCTGTGTGTGTGTGTGTGTGTGTGTCTGTGTGTGTGTGTGTGTGTCTGTGTCTGTGTCTGTGCCTGTGTGTGTATCTGTGTGGGTGAGAAGGGGGTGCATGCGTGTATATGCATTTACGCAATTACAGGTATTTCTGTGCGTGCATGAGTATTCGCATGTGTGGGTGTATGTCGATATGTCAGTGTATGTGTGTAGGTGAGTGTGTTTGTGTGTGTGCGCGTGTGT